GTTTCATAACTAATAGTTCAAATGGAAGGGTAAAATTATACCCATGATGGCTTTGCAGAATCATCAATAAGCAAAGAGTAAGTGATTGGCCCGCAAGCAGGAAGAGATAAACTCCAATCTGAAAATGAAAAAGATTAGATGCCACTGCCTAAAGTATAAGTTTGATCAGCAATAGTTTCAGGAGTGATCACAACATTAGGACACTCTGATTTCACTACTATTGCAAAATCCTGATTAATTGATTTATATGCTGTTCCTCCAATAATTCTAAGATTGTAATTATTTATCTTTGCTGAATTAGAAGTTGAGACGTAAAACTGATTGCTTGAAATATAGAATATACTATCAGCTGTTTAGGAATCAGCTTAATTTACAATCTAATATGCTAAACTTCCACAATAAGATAAAGAATGTGTCCAGCTTAATGTGAATATTGACTAAGCTATTCCTGATTCAATAAGATAATCGTATGAAGATAGAACTGCTGAAGGTGTAATAGCATCATTTTAACATGCATCTTATATTTTAATGGTAAATTGTTATGTTGCTGATTGCAATCCTTATGAATTTGTGCCTTTTAATTCAAAAGTATAAGTCCCAATGTCACTAGTTAATGAAGTTTAAATTGCTAAAACTCTTGAATTTTCAGTAAAGGTGTAGAAATTTGAGCTCTGAGTAGTGCTTATTTTTGTTAAAGTATATGCTATAGAGCAGCCTGTTGTATTGATGCTAAAAGCATTTAATGTAAAACTTTGAATTCCAGAATTCAATGTATACGTAATGTCAGTCTAGGATGTAGAGGTTATAGAAACGTATGAACAGGCACCAATCAAAGTTAGTTAAAATGAAACTTCAGCACTTTACTCATTGTTAATTCTACCTAGCATTTTTATTGTATATTCCCCAATGTAAGCTTAATTAGATGTAGTAACAGTATATACTCTTGTATTGGCTACAAATGTAGCAAAGCCAGATACAGCGCTAATATCACTAGAATATTTGAATATTACATCTGAACAAGTCTATTGTAGAGTAAAAGCAGGAATATTAATAGTCATTGCTGTACTTCCAATAGTATAAACCTTATTGACTAAATTTGGTGTAATTATTGTCTTCAATGAAGTGGTTAAAATTTGAGGTACGATATATGTGATTGCGATTGTTGATGTTTTAGTAGTATATAGAGTTCCCTCTGTTGTACTCACAAAAGTATTAGTTAATGTTTAATATGTCAAAGTTTCACTTGCCATTGATGAAGGTGAAGATAGTGAATTAGTTATTGTAATTTCACTTTCAGATGGATTAAAATTCATAAGCCAACCAACATTTTAAGTAAAACTTGTAGTTGAGGGTGTCTCACTTGAAAATGTGGATATTGTTCCTACATAGAGTACTTAGGATAAATCCATCCAGCCAGAAAATAATTAATTATTCAAACCGGTTGAGTAGTAACTTATGTCTTTGAATCGATATTAGGATGCAGTAAAATCTGCTTCTCCAAGTCTTAGTTAATTGTTATTTTAAGCAACAAGATATCTTATTTTCAAGCAATTGGTTGCTTTAACTTAAATGCATTATGAAAAGCCATTTATTAAACTGTAAAGGTTGATTGATAGGATTCAAATCTTACGTTGATGAGCCCTAAGAAACTGTGGTACGAGCACTATTTACATTAAGTTTCAAAATCAATATATTTTAATCATCTTCTGCACATGCTGCAAGACATCTTGTACTCGCTGAGGTATCTTGCAAATAATCAAG